CCCCGACCAGTCATACCGATATCAAGGTTAGGAACCCGTTAATGCGCGCCATATGTTGTCTATAAGACGCGCAGGTAGTGGCGGCGAAGGAAACAAGGAGTGAGGCGTTCATGAAATCTAGCGTGATCAACGTTTTGCATGTTCGGTTGTAAACGTCCTGTGTAGCTCAATTGAATTGTACATAGTCTATACAGTACGGGTCCAGTATGCAACAAGCCATGAATTCCGGATCCTTCATCTGTCCGTCCGTTTTCCGACTGCGTGTAGTGATATGGTGGCTGTCTGAACCGGCTCCACCTCGCCACCCGAACAGGAAAGCAAGAAACGACTTTGACAGCATCCCAGTTCATGCATTGGCACATATCGAGAGCTCATTGGTGCTTTCTATAGTGTTCGACGAAAGTTACCTAGCAGGACTTCCGAATGTTGGCACGTCCCCAGAAATCCACAAGTACATGCGGCAGACATTCCTCACACACGAAGATTCACAGACCACTCTAGGCCTCGACTGCAGAGTGAATCAACATAGTCTTGGTGAGTTCGTACAGTATATATATATGCGTCCGTTGTCTCCTAGACCTGCGATTCGGCTTCGGATACTCGTCATCCTCGTTCTTACGCCCCTTCCTCTAGTGCCATGATTTCCAAGATTGTCATAGCCCTACATGTCGTCTTGACACTAGTCATACTTGCAGTAACCATCAGGGCTCTGCAGGATGAATCGAATGAGAAGAAGGGAATAGTGCAGATTCTGGTGCGTAACTCATCACGCCGACAATGCGGGACTAACGGCAGCGAAGCTACATGAACAAGCGAAACGCTTCGTTCAGGTTCCTGACTTGGTCGGATCCATCGCCACAGCGGTGCAAAGTGCCGCAGCCGGCGTGGTCACTGCCGCGGTCGCATCAGGCAAATCCTTGGTCGCCGCCAGTCTACCGTCTAGCATATCAGTGGGCACCAAATACGCGTGCGTGGCTTCAGAATGCGCAGCGATTCCAGGCCACGCCTTTCGCCTGATACATGACCTGGCCGCGTTTGTCCCTTCGTCCGAGGAGATCGAACAGCTGCAGAAGCTGGTAGAGAAATGCCCCAACCTGGAGACCGTTTTGTTCGCCGGGCTCGGCTTAGTTTTGGTGTCGACTACACTGC